AAATCAATACAAACCTGACCTATTAAATACACTTTAAACCAGGGGTCCTCAAACTACGGCCCGTGGGCCACATGCGGCCCGCCGAGGACATTTACCTGGCCCGCCGGGCAGGGGCGTTTCTGCCGCGGTCGGGAGAGCTCGGCAGGGCTTGGGCAGGAGGCAGGATCAGCAATTCTAGAACAGCGGAAGTAGTGGGATCGGCTTATGAACCTGCACCACTCACAAGGCCTCTCTGCAGCCAGCCGGCCATCTATTCTGATCAGTGCATGCAACCGTCACGGCCAGAGGGCGGAGCCTAGAGCTGACTATGAAGAGGGGGAGCAAGAGAGGAGACTCCATTGCTGCATGTTGGGTATCACGGCCACGGACCCTAGATAAGTGCAATAGATGATCGATCTCCTCCCTCTCTCTTTCCCCCCTCTCTCCTCTCTCCCTCTCCCTCCCCCCTCCTCTCTCTCCCCCCTCCTCTCTCTCCCCCCCCTCTTCTCTCTCTATCCCACATCCTCTCTCTCTCCCCCTCCTCTCTCTCTCTCTCCCCTCCTTATCTTGGGGGGAAATGTCTGTGCGTCTTATGGAGCGGCCGGCCCAGTATTCCCGCCGCTGTTGTATGTCCGCAGTCTCTGGTCATCTCCTGTACTATGTCCGCAGTCTCTGGTCATCTCCTGTACTGTGTCCGCAGTCTCTGGTCATCTCCTGTACTATGTCCGCATTCTCTGGTCATCTCCTGTACTATGTCCGCAGTCTCTGGTCATCTCCTGTACTATGTCCGCAGTCTCTGGTCATCTCCTGTACTGTGTCCGCAGTCTCTGGTCATCTCCTGTACTGTGTCCGCATTTGTTCATAGTTTTTTTTTTTTAAACTATAGTCCGGCCCTCCAACGGTCTGAGGGACAGTGAACTGGCCCCCTGTTTAAAAAGTTTGAGGAGCCCTGCTTTAAACAGTACACTAAGTCCCTACCTAAGAAGAACTTTTATTTTAATGTCTTTGCTACAGTCATAGAAGCAGCCATGCCACTGGTTATACAGTATTTTACTGTTGATTTCGGGGCTAACTAGTATACAGTGCTATCATATTTTACATATCAAGGCAAAAAAAATCACCTGTATGCAGTGCAAATTAGCAATCAACAATAGATACTGCATAAGCTTCTTAAAGGACACCTGTGCAGCGAAAAATATGTAGGCTACCTTTGTTGATACCGTTCTGAAAATGTAGCCTGGTTGTTTCTGATTTCAGTAGATTTTAAGTTACTAACCCAGAAGAAGTATGCAATACACAAAGTTGAGTGAAGTCAGAACCCCTGATCTGCATTCTTGATTCTGATCAGTGACACTGGATAAGCCTGTTTGGAGGCAAAGTAATATTTTCGGAATCATAAGTTTCCTCAGTACAGGTTTCCTTTGAAGTTTAAATTTAATTGGTTGTTTTGGATTGCACCATATAATTGTTGCTTGTACTCCATAACCACTCATTAGACGTGGGCTATTGGACCTATGACATTTCTTTTTCTAGGTTAAGTTTTTAGGTAAACCATAACAAAACTTATGGTGGTAATGATCCACATATGAACCAATTAGATGATGCTTTATAATAATAATAATAATAATAATAATAATAATAGCAGCTGCTTTTCTAATGCTCAAAGTGGATTTGTACTCACAGTAACTCAGTCTGTTACATATTTCCTATTTTTTTTTGTTTGGAAGCAAACTCCTTTTTAGCAGGTGCTCCTCCCCCCCATCTTGGGGAAGATGTCACACATCCCAGGAGTCAGTACAATACAGCAGGAAAGAAACACCTTGAGAAGTCATTAGGTGCAAGGAAGACAATTTGTAGGCTGGTAAGTACGTGTAGCATCTGACTTTTTCTTTTGGAAGCCCAGTGAAGATCCTCTTTAACATTTTCCTTGACACTGATATTTAAAACTGAAAAGCAATGTTTTTTTCAGTTAGGCTCCATGCACACTGGGCATAAAAAAAAAACACCAGTTCCCTTAGCAGAAAAAAATGCGGACATAGACCGTTTTTGTGCACAGTTTAGGCGAGTTTATGATAGTTTAGAATTTTTTTCTGCCAAAAAGCTCCAATCAACCAAAACCAGAAAGGTTTTTTTTTCCTGCCTCTAAACGTTGAGCTTTAAATATGACTCTAATCGTCCTAATGTATAACACTAAGATGCTTCTACAGGAAAAACACAAAACTGTAGAAGCAGCAATTTTTAAGTCACTGTACATTGAGCCTTAATCAGCTAGTACAATAGAATGACTATCATCGAGATAAGTCCATTGTAGTCCTATTTAGCATATACTGTAGCTAGACAACTGTATCTGTCTACACAGCCATTTTATAACTGTGTCTGTTACTGCCTACAAAATTGTACAATTTGGCTTAAATATTTAATGCCTAATTCTGTCAGATTATTAAAGGTTTCTGGGCATATTTTGATACAATTGGTAGATATACTTTATATGTATACAGATCTTACCATCTTGTCCTAGAACCTGAAAAATGATAGCTGGAGATCCTATGAAAAATTATGAGGAAACTCAAAGTACTACCAACAAGCAATATACATTTTGAGATATATTACCAGTATCTTCCATCCCTGTGTTGCAGGCAACCTCCCAACCATTGTCTGCAACACCTTAAAAACGCACTTTAGAATGGCACATCTACCTGCCTTCAGATCTGACGTAAGGTCTTTGGAGACACATGCACCACTAACTGTGCTCCAGTACTACAATCTCAGCAGGCAAACAGTACCAGGGGAACATTTTCCTGCAAGTTATTTAGTATAGTATTTCTTAGTATGTATATACCGCACAGGGCTTTACTTTTGATGAGAGCGAGCAAACGTCATGTCAGTGGATGAACTGATATCAATGTAATATTGAGAACAGCATGATAAACCATCTAGTAGCAGAATGCCTTTTTCAAAACTGAACTTAGTATTGAGGTTTTTTCAGGGTCACTGGACTAACAGGGAATTTTAAAATGCAGAGGCAGGGGAAAGGAAATAAATGAATGCAGAATTTAACACATCGCATAGTGACCTGAACAGAGACAAACGTTTCATTTGCTACTATGACCTCAATTTAGCTGTCATCTCTTTTTTTAGAGATCTGTTTGCTAAAGCTTTTGGAAAAAACAAACAGCACAAATACCAAAAACACTCAACTTAAACAGGACCCTCACATGGGTTGTAGGAGAATAGGAATGGCAAAAGCTGGATTACATTCAAGGGTTAGCTGTCATCTTTGTGTAGCTCACCCTCCTGATCAATAATTGTGCTTAATTCACTTTATTGCTTACTTGATTGCCTGGACTAATTTGTAAATAATGTTCTATTTCTAATGGCTTAGCAGGCTCAGGGATTTTGAATGTAAGAATGACTATATTGTTATATGATATATGGCTATAGTTGCTGTTATAAAATACAGGATTTTAAATCTGGGTTTATTATATTTTACAGTAGACACAACAACATGAATTACATTTTATATCTGTGTATGTTCTCATTCATCCAAATTATTGCATAGCTAGTAATTTTTCATAGTCAACTGAGCCTCTGCTGGTTGAAGACATTTTGCAGCCTATCCAGGCCACTCCTTCAGTTCTAATGACTGTCAGGAACATACCCATCATTTATATCCTACACTTAAAGTGACACAAAATGACATCCTTATTCTCTATAAATAATCCATACACATTCATTATACGAGGGGCGTTCAAGTCAAACCGGGACTCTTAATTTTGCTGGTATAAAAAGTGATTCTAGCATGGTGGTCCTACACGCAGTAGTAAGTGGCAAGTGTCCTATTACTGATAGGTGGCGCATATGTCACGGGCCAGTCCAAAGACCTCTAATCAAGATGGCAGACAACAGTGTTATTGTATGCATGTAACAGCGCGTGGTGAACGAAGGTGTAAAACTCATGGATATCTACAGAGGATTTCAATCACAGTATGGTGATTAGGCACTTAGCTGCAGTAAGACATTTGAATGATGTAAACGATTCAAAGATGACCGTACAACAATCAGAGATGATCCCGGCTGTGGTGGTTCCCAGTCCACAGCAGTCATTCCTGTGAACATTCAGTGCGTGGAATGCCTGATCCTGGAAAATCAATGCATAACCTGTCATGAAATTGCACAACATGAATCAGCATTTCAACACTGATGACAAAGTGAAGCAGGCTGTCCGACGATGGTTCAGATGTACTGACAAATCTTTCTATGCCAAAGCTTACCAGGCATTTGTTAAACACTGGGATAGGTGTATAAATGTGGCAAGGAAGTATGCTGAAAAATAAATGCAGTTTCCACTCCTTGAAATCTGTTCTTTTATTATATAAACTCAAAAGTCCTGGCTTGATTTGAATGCCCCTCGTATAATGGCCAATTTTCTGCCTGTTTGTATTGTCCTCTGTGACATTCCAACCCTCCATTTATTGTCCTCCATGAGCTTTGCAAACCTCCTTATACAGCTCAGTTACATTTGTGTGGAACAAGCAATGCATGTTAACCTCCTCGGCGGTCTGATTGTTTCCGATTTTTTGTGCTGAAAGCGGTACCATTTTTTTACATGGAAATATGTAGTTTTTTATTGTAGGCTGTAATTTTTAGGAATAACTCACTGAAATCTGTACGAACAAGAGTCTAGTAAACATCCCGGGTAGGATAAAATTTGAAACACAAAATCATAAATTATAATTTAATAAATAATCATAAAAAATAATAAAATAATAATAATAAATTTAATTCAATAATATAATCAAAGCAAAAACACAGAATTTTGAAATACAGAGGCAAATTCGCACATCGCTGAGCAAAGTCGCAAAATCGTTTTCAGTGTCTGATGACGAATTTCTCCACGAATCATTATCACTCAATTCTGCAAGAGGTTCTGACTTACTATCGCTGTTCTCTAGCTGGTCTAAAACCGCTTTTGACGTAAAGGGACGCTTTTTGGACGCCATGGACTTTTCTAAGTTTCCAGGCAGAAAGAACAGTCCAAATGCAGGCAGGGCACAGGACAAAGCAGTAGGGACAAAATGTATGTGAAATGCATTGAAACAGCAATGTTTTTCTATGTAATAATCATTTTAAAAAAATGACATTTTTTAAAAAATTTCAAATTTGCCGTCCCGACGTCACAGGGACCGGAACACGGAAGCCGGATGCCGCCATCGGCCGGAGGAGATGGCTGGGGACGCTGCAGGGGACACATCGTGGGAGCAAAGGACAAGGTAAGTTCTGCAGGGAATCCCTGAGCAACGCCACAGGGTAAGCCCGAGTGTAGCTCGGGGTTACCGCTTTTGGTACTGACATTTTACCCTGAGCTACACTCGGGAATACCGCTAAGGAGGTTAAGCTGGCCATAGACAAAGCAATTTTCTTTCCTGAAACTACAGGTTGCAAAAAAGAAAATCACTCAATTCTCCCCATCAACACAGTCAGTGTCGATGGGGGAATCCCTTCAGAGGAGCCATTGTGTTCTCCTGGGGGAGCAGGAGGAAGCTGTCCCTTCCAGAAGAACACTGATTACTGCTAGTGTCTATATACTCACATGTATAATCCAACAAGCTTGTTGTACCCAAGTTGATTGATCGATCAATGTGGGTACATTCAGCCTGCCCATACATGGTTCGAATTTTTGCTGGTCTCTGCTGAACCAGCCAAGATTTGAACTGTCTATGGCCGGCTTAAGTTGGGGTCATGTGCTAAGCTGTATGGACACATATACAAATGTCAAATCACAGCAGCAAAAAAGGAATTTGGAGATTTGGTAAAGGCTGAAAGCAACAGATGGAACTTTTTTGAGTTAAAAAAGAAGTTTAAGGACACCCACCTGGATGGATGTAGCATTGGTCCGGTGCTGCATCTGTACCTCACTGCCTCTGAGTCCAAGAAATGAGCAATCAAAGACCACTGATTACTCAGTTCTTGGTCTTCAGTGAGCAGAGAGTGACTGTCTGACAGTCACTGGCTCTCTGCCCTGCCTCTCCAGGACTCACTGGAGCACTGGGCTGTGGAGGGGTGGAAGCAGCTGGCTCAGGAGAAACTGAGCTAGCTGCCATTCAGCGATCTGGGTGGATCCTGACATTAAAGTTGGAATCTTTTCAAGTGATGTCAACTGACTGCTGTGATGTCCGCTTTCGGCTAAATACGGGTCACAGGAGTGCAGAACGAAGTGCACTCCTGTAATCCATTGGAGCAGTAGGCCCAAAAGAGCTCTGTCCCTACTCCTTCTTTAGGAACAGCTATATGAATAAACATTTTTTAAAAAATCTCAGGTTGCACTTCCAGCATATTTTGTCCAGCACATGTCCAGTAAGTCCATCAGCTGCAATCAGCAAAGCAGCCATTTACTTTCTCTGTGATGTAATCTCTTTCTGCTGTTTTTCCCATATTGATTCCTCTCCTCTCAGCACAATCCAGGGAATTACTGAAACTGTAAGGAGTGACATGTGCTACATTAACTAACTCTGGGCGCCTGTCACATACCTGGTGATGGAACCTGACATGGAAAGGTAGGTGTTCTCTTACAGCTCCTGCTCAGTACCCTTGGTAAAGTAACAGGAGGCACAAGAGCCTGGAGTGGCACAAGTGCCTGACAGTTCTACAATGTCAGATGCAGGTGAGTCATCTGTGTGCACCAGGAACCAGGCTGGGCTGTGGATGCAGGGCAGCAGGAACAGTCTCAGTGCTGTTTAAATAGTCCCCTTGGCATCAGTCTAGGGGCAGGTAGGCATGCCGAGGCGAATGCATGAGCACGGGAATGGGCACAGCTAATGGAAATTCTGCATTTGCACAAAACTATGCACCTGGGCACATTTGGTCTTCCCTGAAGGCTCTATTTTAAATTGATGCTGAGACAACCACAGTCCCAGTGCTGTTTTAAAATGTCACCAAAGATTTATTTGTTGAAAGAATCCTCTACATCACTCAACCTTTTTTTAATACCCTCATGCAACCATAAAATTATTTTCGTTGCTGCTTCAGTAATTTTTCAGTGGGAGGACTAGCGCCCCATCACTGATGTCAATGAATAGTGTCCCATTTTCAGTGGGAGTATCCTTGTCCATCCTCCCTTGGTGTCAGTGGGGGGACTAAACAGTGGCCCCAATTGTAACGGATAATAGTGCCCCATCATTGGGAGGAATAGTGCTGCTTAGTGCTGTGGGTGCCAGTGGGAGGAATAGTGCTGTGAACCCAGGCAAGGAATAGTGCGTACATGGGATGCATCATTGGTGGGGGGGAGGAATAGTGTCGTGTGACAGCCCCATCGTGGTCAGTCCCCACAGAAGGAGTGGATTGAATGATGCAGGCTAGAATTACATCTGTGTCTGTGACAGAGAAAGTGGATTGAATGATGCAGGCTAGAATTACATCTAGGAGTCAAAGAGAGAAATATGATGTTACTTGCTGTGACCCCCCCCCCCCCCCCCCCCCCCCCCCCCCCCCCACCCAGGCTTTATAATCATGTTTTTTTCTGTGGTAATGAACAAAAAATTAAAACAGCAAGGAATAACTATTTTGCTTGCCAGTTTCTGCAGAAAATTATTATTATTATTATTATTATTGTACGGGATTTATATAGCACCAACTCAGCTCAGTGCTTTACAACATAAAATCAAATAAATGGCCATGTAATATTTATCTGTTCATGGCTAATCATACTTTATGGTTGTTTTTCAGCCAATATACATCACAAATGATTTATTCATTAATACATTTTAGGAATGTATTAGATTTAAATTAATTTTTTTCATTAAACTTGTCAATTTAAAGCATTTTTATTTTGGAAGCAGTCAATGTTTTAGGGCTTTCTCCAAAATTTTAAATAATATTGAATTATTCTAGCATATACACTCACTGGACACTTTATTAGGTACACCTGTTCAATTGCTTAATAACACAAATTGCTAATCAGTCAATCACATGGCAGCAACTCAATGCACTTAGGCATCTAGGCATTGTGAAGACAACTTGCTGAAGTTCAAACTAAACTTTAAAATGGGGAAGAAAGGGAATTTAGGTTACTTTGAATACGTTGTGGTTGTTGGTGCCAGATGGGCTGGTCTGAGTATTCAAAAACTGCTGATCTACTGGAATTTTCATGCACAACCATTTCTAGGGAAACCGAGATTCATCAAACCAAGCAAAGTTTTTCCAGTCTTCTATTGTCCAATTTGGTGAGCTTGTGCAAATTGTAGCCTACATTAACTGTTCACAGCTGATAAGAGTGGCACCCAATGTGGTCTACTGCTGCTATAGCCCATCTGTTTCAAGGTTCGACATGTTGTGCATTCAGAGATTGTATTCTGCATACCTTAATAGTAACGAGTGGTTATTTGAGTTACTGTTGACTTTCTATCATCATGAACCAGTCTGCGCATTCTCCTCTGGCCTCTGATATCAACCTTACAACTGCCGTTCACTGGATATTTTCTCTTTTTCGGACCATCCTATGTAAATCTTAGAGATAATTGTGTGTGAAAATCCAAGTAGGTCAGTGGTTTTTGAAATACTCAGATCAGCCCGTCTGCCTTCAACAACCATGCCACATTCAAAGTCACTTAAATCCCCATTAAATTCTTCCCCATTCTGATGCTCGGTTCTTATGCTAACCATGTCTAGATGCCTAAACGCATTGAGTTTCTGCCATGTGATTGGCTGATCAGCAATTTGTGTCACCAAGCGATTGAACAGTTGTACTTAATAATGTGGCGGGTGAGTGTATATATATTTTATTTATTCTAAATACCTGGTTAAATATGTGCTTTCATTTAAAAAAAACAGAACATAATGTCTATTTATCATAATACTTATACAAATCCCAAATGTGCATGTTTTACTAATTAAATAACACAAAAGTATACTAATGGTTTAAACAGGATAGAGAAACAAACTGGACACCAAAGCCTATGAAATTATCATTTCCCATATGAGGCAGTCATCCTGCATCTCAGGAATTCGCCCACAGCTTGTCTCAAAGGGTGCATTGTTACATATAAATCAGTAGAAACTGTATCCTTGATGTGATAGTTGTGTGAAAAAAACTTGAATTACAGACTAATGCTAATGTAAAGGAGTCTCAGAATCATGTGGTCTAATAACTACAGCTGCTAGATAAGGGGGGTTATTTAATAAGGAAAAGAAAAAATATATAGAGTGAAGTAACTTATACAACACCATCATATTTCATTGTTCTGGCGGCTTTTAACTTGCTAATCTGTCTAGCTAATCTTTCTTCAATTATTTCAAGTTTTCCCCAGATCAATTTATATCCATAGAACACCACTATACCTGGATAGATTATTGTTAAAGGTGAAGCCAGCCATAGTTACATTCTTTTAAGGCTAGACCAATAAAAAAAAAGCTGCAAATGAATGCAGCTCTGTAGTAATAAATACATAAATAAATGTATTTTTGAATGCAAGCAGTGTAAGTGCCTGAATTTGAACTGGTATCAGCCTCTTGCAGTCCTTGTACAGCAGAGCTTTAACCTCTCCGTGCCAAGAGCACGCAAATGTATGACCTCTTGGTGTGTGGGCCTTGACGTTGAAGGACCGCATATATGCTCTCTAAAATGTAAACAATACTGTGCTGAGAGAGTGCGCCATGTGCACTCGCGGCACAGTTACTGGCACCTAATGGAAAGCTCCTGATCGCTACTTCCGATCATGTGACTGCTATGAGAGCCAATAACGACATTCACATGATCATAAATCCCACCCTGCCTCCTAGCATCAGAAACCCCTTAAAGGGGTGCCGGTGTTAAGGAGTTGATGTGAGAGGAAGTAGCAGCACAAGGAGGCAACCAGTGCTGGTGCTGAGAGGAAACATGCTAATAGGAACAGAATGATAGAAAGATGAGCTCCTCATTGTGCTGCTTCTCTTTTCACTGTCCAGCAACAAATTGGGGCAGGTCCTGGACAACATGGGCTCCAAGCAAGTGGGTTGAATGATGCTGACCATCATACTGAGGACATCTAGTGGCAGAAAAATGTACTATAGGTTAAATCTCTGGATTTAAGCACAATATTTAGGCAAAAGCTAGTTTTGTTATTTGATATTTTAATTGGCTATTAATTATATCTTTTTGGCTGGAGTTCTGCTTTAAATGCATTCCTCAATAGCTGCAAAATATATAAACCCACTATATGTACACAAAAGGCCTTTGCAAATTCAAATAAAAGTATCTGTGAAATCATCACTAGAATCCACCTAGGCTTTGCAGAGAACACAGTTGTTGGCAGGACCTAGTACCCACTACAGGCTGCCTGAAAAATCTACAGGAAAGTGTGTACAGTCCAGTTACCTTGCATAAGGACAGAGAGCAGCAGTGACCATTCT